GCAGGCCTTAAACTGGATGTGTAGCGGAGGATGACCTTAACTCTGCTCCCCCTGCCTGCATCCTGAGTACTGGGATTGCAGGCTTGGGCCACACCTCCCAGTTTTATGCAGTGCTGGGACTCCAGGGCTTTGAATGCATGCTAGGCAAGCACTCTGTCAGCTGAGCATTTATCAACTACAAAACAGATGTTTTGTTTTGTTTTTGGCTTTTTGAGACAGGGTCACTCTATATACTCATGGCTGTCCTGGAGCTCACTGTGTAGACAAGGCTGGCCTCAAACTCACAGAGGTCTATCTGCCCATCTCTGCCTCCCAATTTCACTGGTGTGCACTACCATGCCCAGCTCCCAAATCTGATTTTAATAATCAATATCTAACCCTCAGAATAGTTTGGTCACCTTATCCAATAGCTAACCACATAGGTTGAAAAGTTGAATTTTTTGCCAGGTGTGGTGGTGCACTCCTTTAATCTCAGCACTCAGGAGGCAGAGGCAGGCCAATCTCAGTTAGTTTGAGGCCAACCTGGTCTACATAGTGAGTTCTAGGTCAGCTAGAACTATGTAAAGAGATCTGTCTCAAAAACCAAAAAAAGGAAGTGTTCAAACTGAGCATGGTGATACACAGCTGTAATTCCAGCACTGAGAAGTCTCAGTGGCCAGCCTGGTCTACATTGCCAGTTGAGGGCAGCATGAACTGCATAGTAAGACCTTATCTTCACCAAGGATGAGGGAAGCAGCTCAGTGGTAAAGGGTTTGCTGAACATTGCCTCAAACCTGAGGTTCAATGCCCAGCAATTTAAGAAAAAAGAAAAAGTTTGATATTGCTCTAGTTTCTAGCATAGTCTGTGTGTTCAGAGATATAGAAGAATTTAAGTAGGTGTTAAAGAAAGAGAGTACTCCAGAACACAGACAATAATAATGACATTGAGTTGGGGACAAGGAAGCAAAGTTTGATTGGCTTATTAGAAAAAAAAAAAAAATTAAGGTAACCACAGGTTTTTCTGGAAAACAAAACTTCCAGTAGCTGATAAGTACTAAAATGTTTAGATACTGTTAAAATTAAAAATTGAGAGATAATATTTACTTTGTGGGGCATTTCATAGTCCAAGGTCAAGGAAATAAAAAGCAAAGAGAAAAGTTGGTATTTTTTTCTTTTGAAGTCGTACTGGGGCTGGTGAGCTGGCTCAACAGGTAAAAAGGTGCTTGCCAAGTGTGACAGTCTGAGTCTGGGTCCACGTGGAAGGAGAGAGCCAGCTCCAGGAGATCGGCCCCAGACACACGTCCACTCACACACACAAATACAAATACAAAATAGTCATACTGGACAAATACTTAGAAAAGACAGTGGTAGAGGGCTTTCTTGATGCTAATTTGATCTGGAGGTTTGCTCACATTTCAGTCATTCCTTTTACATTTTTTCTAGCAAATGCAGTGTTATCTTGGGAGGAAATTACTTAAAAATCTGTTAAGTAGTGAATCCTCACAAGTAAAAATAGCCACTAATTAATAAGTGAAATAATTTACTTCATAGAACTAGGAGGTACCCAAGAATGTTGGTTCATTCTTTTCTTGTTGTTTTTGTTTTTTGTTTTTTGTTTTTTCTTTTGTTTTGTTTTTCCAGACAGGGTTTCTCCGTGTAGCTTTGTGCCTTTCCTGGAACTTAGTAGCCCAGGCTGGCCTCGAACTCACAGAGATCCGCCTGGCTATTGCCTCCCAAGTGCTGAGATTAAAGGCGTGCACCACCACCACCTGGCCTGTTCATTCTTTTTTTTGTTTGTTTGTTTTGTTTTTTAATGTATTTATTTATTTATTTATTTTAAAGATTTGTTTATTATGCATACAGTGCTCTGCCTGCATGTATCCCTGCAGGCCAGAAGAGGGCACCAGATCTCATTACAGATGGCTGTGAGCCACCATGTGGTTGCTGGGAATTGAACTCAGGACCTTTGGAAAAGCAGCCAGTGCTCTTAACCTCTGAGCCATCTCTCCAGCCCCCTGTTCATTCTTTACAGTTAACAAAACTGTAAAAAAAGAATATAAGAAATATTGATCCTGTGTCTTTTTTTTTTCCCTCTTTCAATCACATGTAGGAAAACTCCTCCTTAATTTGGTAGACCACATTGAAGTGGTCAGAGACTTAACCTTTGCTCCAGATGGGAGCTTAATACTTGTATCAGCTTCAAGAGACAAAACTCTCAGAGTGTGGGACCTGAAAGATGATGGTATGTATGTCTTGTCTTTGCTCCAGCTGTGCAAAGGAATGAGCTCGCTCGCGCTCTCTCGCTCTCTCGCGCTCTCGCGCTCTCGCGCTCTCGCGCTCTCGCGCTCTCGCGCTCTCGCGCTCTCTCGCTCTCTCGCTCTCGCTCGCTCTCGCTCGCTCTCGCTCGCTCTCTCTCTCTCGCTCGCTCTCTCTCTCTCGCTCTCTCTCTCTCGCTCTCTCTCTCTCGCTCTCTCTCTCTCGCTCTCTCTCTCTCGCTCTCTCTCTCTCGCTCTTGGCAGGGTCTCCCTGTTTCCCTGGCAGAGATCTACCTGCCTGTTTCCTGAGTGCAGGAATTGAAGGCGTATGCCACCATGCTGACTTGATGTGACTATTGAGAGTGATTACGGGATTGCCGCCCTCCCTGCACCCCCCCAGCACAGCTGTAATCTTAGCTCTAATGGGCAAGGCAGGAGAATTGAGAGTTCTAGGCCAAACTTGGCTAGTTAGCAGGGCACTGTATCAGAAAAACACAAACAAATGGCTTGGTGACCAAGGGGTCTTTTTTCTTTCTGTTTAATACTTGGGAAACAAAAACATAGATTAAGCCAGCAGTTATATTATAAACCATCTTGACACTGCTCAGAAACCAACCACACAGATCCATGACTCTAGTTCCAAGGGATCTGACACCTTTTGGCTTCTGTGGCCAGTACATATACATGGTACACAGACATGTGCAGCCAAAACACTCATATGCACTAAATAAATGAAACTTTAAAATAAAAAATTTTAAGTGGGACTTTAAGCAACAGATTGATTCATCCAATAAAAATTAGATTATAAATTGATTTACAAACCAGGATTTATAATGTGGTTAAATGCTGGTAAGCATGGATCATAAATTCTTTCATTAAAAAGTAAGTGATATTTTTCCTTCTGATCTCACAGAAAAGTATGTTGATATACTCAGTTTTTTCGGAAACATGGTATCTTTTTTTTTTTTTTTTTTTTTTTTTTTTTTTTTTTTTTTGGTTTTTCGAGACAGGGTTTCTCTGTGTAGCTTTGCGCCTTTCCTGGAACTCACTTGGTAGCCCAGGCTGGCCTCGAACTCACAGAGATCCACCTGGCTCTGCCTCCCGAGTGCTGGGATTAAAGGCGTGCGCCACCACCGCCCGGCTGGAAACATGGTATCTTGATGTTAACAAAATTTTATCATTGAGAGAAACAGAAGTGAATGTATATCAGGCTAAAATACCTGCTCTGTCTACTAAGTGCTGAGATTAAAGATATAAATTAGCATGCCTGGCTTTTACATTCCAAAATGTATTATTTGTATATTCATGTGTGTCTGTGGGGGGTATATTCATGTATGGGTGCCTGAGGAGGCCAGAGGCATTGGATCTCCTGGAATTGGAGTTACAGGCAGTTGTGAGCGACCCAGGTAGGATGCTGGGTATCAAACTTGGGTCCTCTGTCAGAGCAGAGTTTGCTCTTGACTACTGAATAGTGTCTCTCAAGTCCCATGTAATTTTATCAAGCAACAGCTACTACCCTCTGAGAGTCCGAGGCCAGCCAGGGCTACCTAGAGAGACCCAGCCTTGGAAGGGAGGGAGGGAGGGAGGCAGGCAGGCAGGCAAGCAAGCAAACAGGTGGCAGATATTGAAGGCCTCTGTATCTGTCTGTCTGTCTATCGCTATTTCTTTTTTCAGCTATAAAAAAAAGTGTTTGGTAACTATAGACTATGGTGATGCAGTGTTACTGATTGGAAATGCGTTCTCCTGACACGGCTGCTTCTTTTTCTTAGGAAACATGATGAAAGTGTTGCGGGGACATCAGAACTGGGTGTACAGTTGTGCATTCTCTCCCGATTCTTCTATGCTGTGTTCAGTTGGAGCCAGTAAAGCAGTATGTGTCAGAGTTCTTGGACATGTATTGGGAATTGGATGATAATGTGTGCTTAATCATTGTAAATCTAAGCAACCTATTAAGTCTGTGCTCGGTGTCATGAATATCTTAATGCTTTATTTCATGATGGAGAGAATTTATTTGCATGTAGAAAATTAGTTATTTGTGAATTGAGAAATTGAATTGCTTTTAGAGATGTTTATAAACTGAAAGTTAGTTAGTTTTTTGTGAGATCTAGGAAAGTTGATGCGATATAGACAGGATCTAGTCCATATGTTAAGATATTTCCTTACTGATTATTTTCTTTGGTTTTGTTTTGTCCAGTTTGCTATTTTGTTTTTTAAGTTTTGAGTCCCAGCTGATCCTGGACATTTAACTGAAAAAAAAAAAAACAAAAAACAAAAACCAGTAATTTAAAACCATAATGAAATGAACATTCATTTCTGTGCGAGAGTGGATTATAGATGAAGCTGCACATTATTTGACAGCTTGCCTGTTGACAGCTGAAGTAGTGACTGTTGAGGGCTGTACTTGCAGTGAACTGTCGGTGTACTAGCTCTGAGTTAATGTAGTTTTAAGAGCTTAGCAGTAGCCTTGAGTAGTTATGAATCTGGCTGAACTCCAGATATGTATAATGATCACAGCACGCTTTGGACTAACGGGGGTGGGGGTTGTGGCTAGATAAAACACATTTTATTTTGCCAAGAAGTATGTTAAAATAATAGTCGTGAATGTTAGAAGTTTAGAACAAAATAGCTTCGTTTGTTTTGTTTTGTTTTTTTAAATCATAAAACAAGCTAGATGTTGACATTGCTATTTTAGGCTGTGTGTTTTCCATATGCTTCTTGCTTTCCCTGTCACAGGTGGTGGCAGCAATATTGGTGTGATTGAGGTTATGCTGGCACCACTCGCACACAGGCGCACAATGGTGTTAGCTGGGCAGAAAGAGTGGCATCTCTGGCTACCGGGCTGGGGGCGACCTTTACCATAGGATGAAGTAACCTTGCATTCGGCTGCAAGGTGTACTGTACGTACACAGGTGCTGGTCGATGTCCACTTCTGCTTTTCCTTCTTTTCTTTTCTTTTTCTTTTTTTTTTTTTTCCTTTAAAAAATAATTTCCCCCACAGTAAAATCCAGACTCCTGAGTAAATTGATCTTCCAGTTTGATGGAATTGAGAGTCTGACAGTTGAACACAATTTAATGTAAAGAAATTGGTTTTTGAGTGCTTTCTCTGTTGTTTTTTGGAATTTCTTAAGATGCTGGCAGTACCTTAAACCATTGCCCAGTTATTATGCTTATTTCCTTCGGAAACAGTGTGTGCAGACAGGAAGTAGCAGAAAGGACTGCGCTACAAGAGGAGGAAGCTGTCTAACTAGGCTTGCTGTAAACCTCCAAGCCTATGTTTAATCTAACAGACTGCAGTAAGCATTAGAATCCTGTCTAGAGCTCCTTGGGAGGCTGAGGCAAGTGGATCACAAGTTCAAGGCCAGCCTGGGCATCTTGATGAGACACTGCTTCAAAGCAAAAAAACCCAGCAAAACTTATTTAGAACCTTCTGCACAGTCTTTGGATGTTTAAAATCTAAACTGTATGTGAGCTTGTTTTTAAGTAATTTAACTTTTATGCTGAAAATGGCTAATGATTATAGTCAGTTTGGAAAAAATAAGACTGTTAATTACCAAAAAATACTGTAATTATATTATTTTATAAAATAGCATTTTCATTTGTGTAATGTGGTTTAACATCTTTGTTGTTTGCCAACAAAATTACATTTGGCTGTGAAAATTCTCTTTTCTTGCAGTATCTGTTTCTCTTCCTAGGCTCTCGGTGGTGACCCAAGCCTTTTGTAAACAAGTGATTATCTCAAAGGGAGATGCCAATGGAGTAACAATTTGCTAACATTACATTTTCTGTCTGTATCTATTTTTAAAAATTGGTAGTTTCTGGAAAAAAGAGAAAGGGGTTTGTAATACTTAACCCTATTTATTTCCATATATTTTAGTTAATTAGTTTTTGGAATAAATGGATTTCAGTATGTGGTTAAATTGCATTGCCTTTATTTTCCCTTTAGGCTTATTTTTTAAATTAACATTTAACAGAAACATTTGAAATAGAAATTTGCATGTCTACTTTAATTAACTTAAAGACTGATTTTTTAATCTATGACACTGAGCATATTCTTTAAATTACTCATAATTTGTAATTAATTTAATGTAATGTTAAAATAGCAGTTGTAGTTTAAGATATGCCCCTTTGTCCTCTGTGTCTGAGTGAAACTATAACATTTGTCTTTTTACTATTGCAGGTTTTCCTCTGGAATATGGATAAATACACCATGATAAGGAAACTGGAAGGCCATCACCATGATGTTGTAGCTTGTGACTTTTCTCCTGATGGAGCATTGCTAGCTACTGCATCTTATGATACTCGTGTGTATGTCTGGGATCCACACAATGGAGACATTCTGATGGAATTCGGGTGAGTACATGAATTATCCCAGTCTGTAATCAATCCAATACTAGCTGTCAGTATGGCTTTGAAGAAGTTATGTGAAAAATTAGAATCCCTAACAAAATGTCAAATTAACAATCTCATAAATTAAATTAAAAGTTTTCCCGTTATGTCATCACTTGAATAATGCACAAAGCTTTAGATAAACTCAAGTAAATATGGCTCTTACTAGGTGGGTCTTGGTATTTAAGTAGTGTCTGGTTCTGTAGAAATGTAATATACTGGAGTTTCGTGCCTGGGGAAAATGGTAGACAGAATGTTAAATGTTGTGTGCCATGTGTGAAAAAGAGGTGAACGATTCTTTCCAAAGCCCTTGCTTTTGTGGGCAGTTCTAGCAGGGAAGCACAGTTACTGTGTACCCTTGGCTGAAGACCGTCCTCTGTTGGGGACGGTCTCTTCCTGACTGAGCACACAACTTCCTGTTACATTTAGCTTGACTGTAATAGCTCTCCTCCATCTTGGATGTATCATTGGAGGCCCACTTTAAATCTGATTCAGAGTCCAATGAACTTGGACATCAAGGCCATTTTGTTTTTTGAATTGATTCTAAAACCCAATGAAACTATGTCTCTGACCCCAGGCACCTGTTTCCCCCACCTACTCCAATATTTGCTGGAGGGGCTAATGACCGATGGGTACGAGCTGTGTCTTTCAGTCATGATGGACTGCATGTCGCGAGCCTTGCTGATGATAAGTAAGTATTCGGGGTGTAGTTTTGACTATTAATACCTCATACTTTAATGATAACATGCTTTAAGTCATGACACCTTTCTAGTGAGGTTCAGGTTTTTGGGGGGTGGGGCTTGACAACACCTTGCTTTTTTGCCTCACTGGCTATGGTGGTACACACCTGTAAAATTGGTGGCCATTCCTTTTGAGATTAGGCAGTGTAGAAAAGAATAAAGCAGATTATGTTATTTTATCTGTAAGAAAATGAGAAAGCTTCCAATTGTGAACATTACAGGTTCAAACACTGAGGTTAACAAAGCCATGCCTTGTGATCTCTTTGGAGTTCATCCAAATTGCCAAATGGTATAGAATATAAAATAGTATATAAAGTACACTAGTATCATTGAGCTAGCTGAATGTGGAGGCTCACACCTGTAATTGCAGCACTTTGGGAGGCTGAAGCAGGGGGATTCCAGCTTGGGCTATGTAGTGAGACCCTATCTCAAACAACAACAAATTACTATTAGCTGGATGGAGATGACACATGCCTGTAACCCCAGCCCTTGAGAAGTAAAGGCAGGAAGATGGAGTTTGATGCTGGCTTGGGTTACATATGAGCCTGTCTCAACCAAAGTCACCGTGATCTCTGGAGTGATTTGTGTGTGTGTACTCTGTGACTCAGAACACAGAAAGAAGCATTGTTTTCTGACTTACTAACTCACTCCATCGCTCATTTCCCTTCCAGAATGGTGAGGTTCTGGAGACTTGAGGAGGATTGTCCAGTACAAGTTGCACCCTTGAACAATGGTCTTTGCTGCGCCTTTTCTACTGATGGCAGTGTTTTAGCTGCTGGGTAAATACTCTTTCCTGTTCTTTTTCTTTTGAAGGTTTGTTTGTTTGTTTTTTTTTAGTTTGTATGTATGGGTGTTTTGCGTGCATGTCTGTGCACTATGGGTGTGTAGTGCCTAGAGAGGCCAGAAGAGTGTGATCTAGAACTGGAGTTGTAGGTGTTTTTTGTGAGCCACCATTGTCAGTACTGGAACTGAACTCTTGGTCTTGTGGGAAAGCATCGAGTGCTCTTAATAGCTGAACCATCTCTCTAGCGTCTTTCGTTTCTTAACAGAAAAAGTCGTGTAAATTTCCTAAACAAACTCTTTATAATCCTGTTACTGCCTTGTCCTGGAGTACATCATTGCTACTTACTAGATTTAAAGTAAGATTGTGGTTCTGATAATGGAGCTAGCTGTAGGGACGTGGAATATGTGTAGTTGGGTGACTGTGGTTCTGATAATGGAGCTAGCCGTAGGGACGTGGAATATGTGTAGTTGGGTGACGTGGTTCTGACAATGGAGCTAGCCGTAGGGACATGGAATATGTGTAGTTGCGTGACTGCTTTTGTTTCTTTCATTTCTCTTAAGGACACATGACGGAAGTGTATATTTTTGGGCTACTCCAAGGCAAGTCCCTAGCCTTCAACATTTATGTCGCATGGCAATCCGAAGAGTGATGCCCACCCAAGAAGTCCAGAAACTTCCGGTTCCTTCCAAAGTTTTGGAGTTTCTCTCCTACCGGGTTTAGAAGGAAGACTGCCTTTCCTGGTGGGGCCTGACAAAACACTTTTACAAGACACACCTCAAGCTTTACCAACTTAAGCATTTGTTCATAAAGGCTCGGAAGATTTATTTAATTTGATTGACTCTTATACTTCGTTTCTTTTGTTAGTTGAACTTTTAAAGCATTATTTATAGACCATAGGAGAATATTTCTGAACATATCATGTAATTTTTTTTAAAGATTAACTGTGAAAACATATACATACCTGTATATATTTAGATACAAGCTGCTATGTATTGAATGGGCCTTTTAGTTTTCTAACTCTTAGTTCTGGCCTGTATATATTGCTTCAGTAGAGCCATGGTGTATATATGTGCTGTTTGTTGGAACAAATTTAGTGGAATTTTTGTTTTGTATTGGGACACTGAGTTTCGATGATGCTGAATTAAAGCAGAATTGCCTCATAGGAAATGGGATTGGTTAGGATGGGTGGTGTCGAACTGCCTGGTGAAAGAATTTTTGTATATGGCATAGATTTTCTGCAAGAATGGTGTCAGGGAGGTTGAATGTGACATTTAAAAAAGAGCCAGTAAAAAGGTAGCTAGAAAAGTTGTTTCTCTTTAGGCCTTAACTTTGGAAAGCAGCTACTTACCCCTCAGAGAATAAAGTATTATGCATTCTTGTCAGTTTGAGAAATACACCCACTGCATTATTGCTAAATATTTTGTTAATACTAAGGGACAGTTATTTTAAGGTTGTTTTTTTCAAAGAAACAATCACATACTCTGTTTCTGCAGAGAATATTGGTGACTTACCAAAGAGAAGCAATAAAATGTGTCTGCTTTTGCCTTCTGTTATTTATCTCATCTGCAGATGTTGAGAATGTATGCATTATGTAAAATGCTTGTTTTATATCTTTGTTGAGTTTTTTAATTAAAAGATATAAAAAATAATACATTGCAGATGTTTCTTTCATGTGTTGCATTATATAATACTTCTGTCTAGCTGCACTGTAAGGTTAATGGTGGCCCACAAGACAAAAACAATGAGGAAAGAAGCCATGTGACAGGAAGGCATTGATTCGTGAGCACATGCATGCCCTTGTGTTCTGGGGGCACTGCTGTAGCTGCACTTATTTAGAAGCACCCAAAGCTGTAGAACAAAAGAAAACAGCTTCTGAGCTAAAGAATATCTCTTAGAAAAACTGATAGACTCAAGTTAAACCTGCTTGGTTAAATGATAGACTGGTGGTCTAGGTCCTTGAAGAAGGCAAACCACACACTGTTTTAGCCATGCATGATCTCAGGATATGACATCTCCACTGAGAATATTTGCAAGTTCTTCATGTTGGCTCTGTTAAAGTATATGGAAGTGGTTATGAGAGTCGGGAAAGAATCTGAGTGCCACCTGTATTACACAAGAAGCAAAAGCACCTGTAGCCTCTTTTTTAATTTCACTTCAATATTTACTATAATTTAAGATTTAAATATATAAAATTATACTTAATCTCCACATGATTGTTTCTTTTCTAGAACCACACAAATAGCAGTCATGCAGAGATACTTAGTTGAATGATCCACTCTGCTTGAGATGGCCCCAGTGTTTGCACCTCAGTGCCACAGAAAGGGACACAACAGAATGGAAGACAAATGCGAACCAGCCTGAGCTTCCCTTTGCCTTAGAGGACCTGGGTGGCCGTGCAGAATGCTCGGTCTACATCACCAAAGGGAGCAAGGACAAAAGGTGGTTGGGCTCTTTCTTGGGTCAGATCCTAACTGATTTTAGAGTGAAGTGGGCTTTGTTTTTCTTGTATATTTATTCCTTGCTGAAACCATGCCATTTGGAGAACTGGCAAGAGATTATTGACTTTAGGATTTGATTGAATGGAATTGTGGAGTTTTTTTGGTTTCTTTTTTTTTTTTTTGAGACAGGGTCTCACTGTGTATGTAGCTCTCCCTGGGTGGCCTTTAACTCATCGAGATCCCCCTATTCCTGCCTCCCACCTGATCTCCCACTCTGTAAGGGTGGGTATGAATGCAGGAGAGTGTATCATACTATCATAATGATAGAATACCACTTTAAGGCCTGTCGCCTGATCTTAGGTTGGCAAACCCTCAGTTTATGATCCTTGAAATTCCTTGCCTGCTTGTGATTGAGATAAAGTTGGATTGGGCTGGTCTGCACTGCCCTAAGGGCCGCGAGACCTACCATGGGCTGGAGGGAACTAGCAGTGGACTTGGCTGTCAGCCGAGCTCAAGGATAAGAAAAGAGAGGGCATGAGAAGTTAAACATTGTCTCACATGGCAGAAACCATGGAGGCCATCAGACTGAATACTTGGAGGTAACACAGCATTCCATACAGGCAGTTCCCACCAGCTTCTGACCGAAGTGCATCTTAGTTATAGACCATGCAGATCATAAACATGTAGATTATTCCAGGACTGGAGAGGTAGCCCAGTGGGGAAGGGTCCTTGCTGCCAAGCCTTGAGGACCTGAGTTCAGAATCTGCATGGTGGAATACAGAACTGATTGGCACAAGTGTCCTCTGGCCTGCACAAGCACATCACCTGTGGGCACCCCCACCACTAAAGAAATAAGAGGAGCCACAGGAGCAGATCTATTGCTCCAAGGCTTCCATGAGTACAGAGTACCAACATGCCACACTGAGAATTCTGCATACAGGTGACCAAAACTCAGATCTGATGTGTGAAGAATGGAGGAGACGTATGTCCAACACATGACCTTTTTCACAACACACAAATCCACACCTGTGCGTGAGCGGTTCACAGCAGCAGCACTGGGTTCAGTGCAGCCGCAGGTGGGGGGTTTAAGGTATTGGGATAAATGTTCTAGTCAGTTTTTAAGGTAGGGCCCATGGGTTGGAGGGCCAGCCCAGTGGCTGCTCGTTTAGAGGATGGGTTCAGTCTCAGCACCCACATGGTAGCTCACAACTGTCTGTACCTGCAGCTGTAGGGAATCTGATGCCCTCTTCAGGCATCCCCTGACACCAGGCATCTATGTGATGCACAGTAGAGTTATACGTGAGTTTATAATGGTTTCAGTAAGAACATAGGATATTGGTGGTAGTGTGCTGGCTTTGTGTGGGGTGAGGGTGGGGGTTATTTAAATCCTGTATAAGTGAGAACTGTTGACAACAGACAAAATGTTGGCATCTAAAGGAATGATCATCATAACCTTGGTGTGTTTATGTAAGTATTCTGATAATTAAACATCTTTGCTAGGCACTGGAGAGGCCAGTGGTTAAGAGCACTTGTTGCTCCTACAGAGGACCTGAGTTCCATTGCCAGCACCCACAGGCAGCTCACAACTGTTTGTCACTCCAACTGCAGGGGATGCCACCCTTTCCTCTGACCTCCTTGGGCACTAGGCACATCTGCGGTACACATACGTACATGCAGGCAAAAAACACACACATAAAATAAAATCTAAAACAAAAACACAAACTAACAAAATCCAGAACAACAAAAACATCCTATTGCTGTATTTAATGAGGCAATTCCACGTAATTTATCTGGTAATCAAGAGAGGTTTATTTCTGGGATAACTTACAGCCAATAGGGATGGGTTACAGGATCCAGGAGAGGTGAGGTACCATCCAGCAGAGAACTCCGACTTGGTCTCCCTTCCAGATTCCAGGACCATGAGGTATCCAGAAGAGAGAGCAAGCACATATGCACCTAGAGTCTTAAGGGGGTCCCTCTTGGCCGCGTCCCACGGGCAGGTCAGCCCCAGGGGCAGGTCATAGGCAGGTGTCACTCTAGGGGCAGTGTCTCAAGGTCAAAGCTGGAACAACTACCCACTACAACATCCCTTGCTCTAAAGCTTGCCTTTAGCCAAAAGCAGGAACTGGGTGTGCACCGGGGTAAAGTGAGACTGTTCCAGGGGAAGTGTAGCTTTCTGTGGCAGTCACTTGATCCATTTGTTATTAACTCTAGCAGGACCTGCTCCTACTGGAGTCAGCTGATGCTCCCCCTGTGGCTTACTGGCAGAAATCAACTTTCAGGCTGGGGCAATAGCTCAGTGGGAGTGTGCTTCCCCAGCATGCTGGAGGCCTCCAGGTTCAACCCACGGCACCACAAGGGGAAAAATAAGAAAGACATCAGACTTTGGGGCTGGAGAGACGGCTGGTTAGTAAAACGCTTGCCGTGTAAGCAGGAGGACCTGAGTTCGGATACCTAGCACCCGCTCGAAAAGCCGGAGTGCCTGGCACATGGATCGGTAATCCCTGGGGAGACCAGGGAGACAGGCAGGTTCCCGGAGCTCACTGGCCAACCATTCTACCCCAGGCAGTGAGAGTCCCTGTCTGAAGGACTGCAGTGAAGAGCAATGAGAGAAGACACCCCATTCACGGCCTGTGGCCACACACACTAAATGACTTCCTCCATCTATGAAATAAAGGGTAAACTAGATTATAACATGATCTATTGCAGGCCAGAAGTTGCTATCCCAATAGGTTGTGTTTTCCAATTGTTGGTTTATAATGCAATGTTTTAATGCAGTAGTAAATAAGGATTGTCACCCTCTTACTACTGCAGGCCATGCATCAGTCTCACACAAGAATAAGGATGTGGGGCTGGAGTGATGGCTCAGTGGTTAAGAGCACAACTGCTCTACCAGAGGACCTGGGTTCAATTCCCAGCACCCACAAGGCAGCTCACAACTGTCTGTAACTCTAAGATCTGACACCCTCACACAGACATACATGCATACACCAATGCACATAAAATAAAGATAAATAAATTGTTAAAAAAAAAAAAAAAGAATAAGGATGTATTAAGTGATGCCCGAGGAAGAGGATACAGAATTGAGCCAGGACTGAGGCAAATGTAAACTGGGAACCACAGGGCCCTAAACACAAAAGGGAAACCAGGAAGTTGTATGGTTCTCAATTACTGAGGACAGTTACTATATGTTAGGAACTGGCCACTGACCACCAGTCCGTCCCCATGGTGAACTGGTCATCCTAATGGGATGATATTAGGAAATGGGGACTTGGGAAAGTGGTTTAGGCCATGAGGATAGGAGCCCTTGTAATGGGATTTGTGCCCTTATAAAAGTGACCCTAGAGAGATATCTCCACTCTATTAAAGCTATGAGAAAGGGCAGTGAAAGGGGCCTTTACCAGTCCCCAACTGTGCTGGCTCCTGGAGCTGTGAGAAATGTTTGTTGTATCTAAGCCACCCAGTCTGTGAGCGTTCTAACAACAGAGCAAACAGACCAGCAGGCATGCCTCCTGTGAGCCAAGAATAAGCTCTGCTAAAGCATAAAGCTAGCCTCTGGTGTGCATCCCCCACCACCAAGGTTTGGATCTGAAAATTCCTCCACTGGCTTGTTTTGAATGCCTGAAGGTTATTTTAAAAGTTTTAGACTCTTGGAGGTAGGGTCTGCCTGGCATGACTGAATGCTGGGGTGTGTTGAAGGTTGTATCTTACCCCTACTTCTGGCCTAGCTCTCTCTACTTCCTAATCTGCCACTGTGTGAGCAGCCGTGGCCTCATGTTCCCAGTGCCATGCCTTCTCCGCCTGCCAGACCAAGTGAGACGGGATATTTGTCACTTAAGTTGGTTCTGTCCGGAACGTTGGTCACAGTGACATGAAAATCAGTGACACACCCAGTGTTATCTGCCCCTGCAGGGGCTTCAGGTTTTCTCTTGGATGTTATTGGTAGAGCTGGGCAGAGAATCAGCCCACTCCTGTGGGCCTTCTGCGCTGCAGGGGTCTGCAGGCAGGACCTGGGAAACAGGAAGCCCACCAGTCAGAGGTGGTCCCCACCTCTTCTTCTAGTTCCTCTCAGCCTGGTTGTCTTCATTTTTGCGGGCTCAGCTCCCAGGATAGCCTGTGAACTAAAGGGTCTCTTTAGGGGTCCGAGATAAGCTGCCCCAGGTCATTGCAGTCGTGCCTGAGTTCTATGAGACCATCCCACTGCCTCCTTG